TCCCTGTGCCATTCCACATTATTACAAATAACTTCATTTCTGGACATTTATGGTTTGATTTCTTTGTATGTATGGATCACTTGGGTTGTTACCGACAACTGGTGAAAATTTCATGTCATTAGCTCCTCTAGTAATATATTTACTGAGAAAAAATGGTGACGTGTTCAATACTTATTTTACCCGCTGTATATATAAATCACTAAATATGCTGCTGCTTTTATCCACAAACACAGCAGGTTTTGGATCAATAGCAGCTGTAGAAGCTCCATCCAGCAAGAGTTGAGCTCCTTCAGTGCATCCATGGCCACATCTCACTGCATTTATAAGAGGTCTAAATTCATCTGCATGCACACTCTCCAACACATTTTCTATTTTTAGAAATGGGAGCATCTCCAGCGTCCCTCTTGGTCCTTTGTGTTTTTGAATAAGTCTGCAGTTTGTGTGTATGTATGTGTGTGTACAAGTATCCGAGTACAGTAAGTGGGTCAGGATGAGGAGTAAATTAAATACAGTTTGACCACATTCTTTTGCATGTAAATTAGAATTTATTTATTTTTTCCCTTGCTTTGGTGTGTGTGTGTGTGTAAGCGTGTCTACAAGTGTGCTCTCYGCTGAGCCATAACAAATTATCACCTCTGTAGACTTTACTCATACAACTAAATAAAAAAACTCAAATTGCTTCTACTATATTTAAAAAAGTATTTATTTGGGATTCTTGACTTGCTGAAGGAAGCTGAATCTTGTGCATCCTTTCCTTTCAACTGGCCCTTTGGTGGCCTAGAGGTGGTTGTGGGCCAGCACCACATAAACCAAACTACAACCAGACCAGTTGTGGCATACCTTCCTAAAACAGTATCGTTACCAAACCTGGCCTACATATGGTTGACAAACCACTTGCCATGCCAGCAGTGCAAGTTTGACACCAGATCTGGCCCACACCTGTCTGCTATGGGGGCATGTTCCTCCTCTTTTGCCTCTTCCTCTTCAAGTCAGTGAAAAAGCAAAGGAGCGTGTCTGTCTACATGAGGGAAACGCAAGAGAAAGAGAGAAAAAAAGAACAGTTCTTATATTCTCCGACTCGATTCCCATTGTTCGTTTTAAAGAGTTGTTCAAAGGAATCGAATCATTTGTGAACATCCCATTTCTGGTTCTGTGTTTGAGTTCAATCAAATGATTTAAAACAGTTTCCCCATGAGCTGGGATGAACCAATTTACCAGGCTTTACAGTAGAAACAGGGATGTAGGTCACTAAATATATTGTCAATATAATCAAGCATGTTTCTCATGAAGTGTTTAAGCTCCTCGTTTTATTAAATGCAGATTGTATAATAATCATCTCAATCATCAAGTCAGCCTTATTAACATTATTCTCTTCATCATCACTCTTAATTGCATCTGAAATTTGAACTTTTCCTAATCATCCTCATTATTGTTATAACAGATTTCCTCATCTCCATCATCTGTAATTGTCAAACCTCAGTGAGGTCTCCAGTCACCAATCTCAACGTTTTTTAAACAGTATCCCATTATTTTTATTCTTATATCGTAATTGCTAATATTATAAGCTTATCGTTTTTATTTTTAGCGGATAAGATCCAAACATCTTCCTCCATCAGGCTGCAGCTTTTCAACCAGACAGCAGCCAAATGTTTTCCACCCTTTGCTGCTTGGCTGATTCTCCATCATTTAGCTTTTCCTCATGAGCTTTTTCTGTCCTCATAAATATATTTATCACCTCACCCACGCCCATCTTACTGGATGAAACATAACGGGATTCATGTCAGACTGTTAAAATTATTAGGCTAAGGTTTAACAATAACAATAAGTATAATCATTATTATTATTTTTTAATCAACTAGGAGGTCAGTAATGAAGTCGGCCGCTCTCACCTTCCACCACCCCGCAAAGAAACCGCTTCTCCTCCATGCTGCTTCCTGTCGGTCTCTAACGAGACAGCGAGGACGTTTTCCCCGTCCTCCAGCTCAGATTCCAGGGATGTTCTTCATTCTTCTCCTCGCTACGCTTCCACTCTTCCTCTCCTCCTCCTCCTCCTCTTCTTAAACGCCCCTCGCTGATGCTCTCGCGTTGCGTTCAGGTGCTCACAGAAAGCTCAAAGCAGCAGCTCTCAGTGACGTGCGGGAAGAAAAAAATACAATTAATTAAAACGTTATATTTACAATTTCACTTAATTTGATTTATTTTTATTTTGTTTTTTCAAAATCGCAGAATTTTCACATTTCCTGTTCAAATACCGGGAATAGACTGTCTCCATGTAAAACTGCTGTGAAGACGGGCAGTTCTCCTGCTGGCCGGTAGGGGGCGCTCGAGAGCTCAGAGACTCTTCCTGTTACCCCGCGCAGCTGCAGAGTAAAAGGAGTAAAAATAATACGCAAATTAGCAGCAGGTCAAGCGCGGCTGAGATCCAGTTTTTGTTTTCCTCTCGCCAAGCCTGACTTAAGGATGGAGAATTTATAAATCCAAGCTAACTTTAAATCGAAGCAGCAGGTAAAAAAAAAAAAAAACACCCACACCACCAGCTGAGTGAGAAGAATTACCGCTCTTTTTACTTTTTTTAATACTTTTTTTTTTTTCGTTTCAAAACTTAGACTGTTTTGTTGATGTCCAGCGAGAAACCGTGTTTTTCTGCTTTCCCTGCCCTTTTTCAACTTGTGTCTGGACTTCGATGGGGTATTGTGACAGAAGATGCTTGGACTTCAGTCAGGTACCAATAACATTTCAAGTGCTACAGTTTGAATGTGCAAAGAATATGTGAAACAGCTTCTGTTAGAGACATAAATAATGATTCACAAAATATATTTGTATTAATATTTTTGTCTTTAATTTTTGCTGTAAGTTAGTTAAACAGAGCTTTTGTTGACATTATTTTGAAATTCAGATTTTATTTTGAATGTGTTACTTCCTGTTTAGCCTTGATTTAAGAAAAATTAGACAGAAATATTACAGAGGCAAGGATCAATACAGTTTTTCACTGTACTAGCTATGTTTTGCTGGAGATAATATGAGAAGATGTTTAAAAATGAATATTTATTTATTTTTATTTATTTATTTGCTTATGGACATTATTTCAGATAAAGGATTTAGTTAAATTGCCACAGTTTTACACACATATATCACTGTGACAAGAGTGTTTTAAGAATTGATTTGATTTATTTATTTAACAGGAAAAGATTATTAAAAATCAAGCCTGACTCGGCATAAATGCTGTTTTACAGCAGGTTCCTGTTCTGCAGCACATAAAACACTCAGTATTACAGCATCACAATCACATCMTTATACACCATAGACACAAAGACAAACAAGCATAACAAATTTCAGGAAGGCAGCATTTGCAAAATAGGAGGTCTAAATATGAGCACAACAGAAAGTGTCCAGCAGATGGCAGACAAGRTTCTTCTTAAAGGGCTGTAGTTTTGAAGGACTTTATGTTTTGAGGAATGTCATTCCATGCTTTAGTATAAACATAGAAGAAAGACCTCTGACCGTAACAGTTTTTAAAAGTTGGTAATATCAGTTGTCCTTTTGTAACAGATCTAGTTGAATGACCACTTCCAGAATGACACAGTTAATCAGGGACATGCACAGATAGATGACAGGTGGTGCCTGAGCACCTGTCCCTTTACCTCCAGACCATTAAGTGTCCTTGTGGAACCAGTTTATTTTATTTTATTTTATTTTATTTTGTTATGCTTCATCTGTCGCCCTTGGTTGCACATTTTATTAATTGTATTTATTTAATAGTAACATTATTAATATTATTATTAATGCCCTCGCATTCTCTCTTCACCACACAAACGTGCGCGCCCGCAGCACTCCTGTGCGGTGTCGCTCAGTGAATACGCTGCACGTTGGGACAAAAAGGAGTGCTGCTAAAACAGCTTCTCTCTCTTCTCTCCTCTACGTCAGAGGACAGCTAACAAGCAGGTAATTTACACCCAGGTAAACTGTGCAGAACTGTTCCTCGTTCTTCACTCTTTTCCCGGCGTCCCGCAAGTTGAAAAAGGTCCCACATTTGACTAATCAAATTATGAAAAGTCAAAAACAAAGGAAACAATCAACAGTCATTGTTTGGTGGCTACAAAATGCAACCATTAGACCAGTGGTTCCCAAACTTTTTATCTTCTGACCCACAAAATATTCATGGCAAAAACTTGTGACCCCAAATATTACTGGTCTGAGTACACAAACTTTGTTAATAACCCTAAAAACAAAGGCTACACAAATATAAATACTTATTTATACTCATTTTGTGCTTTTGTAATAATTATAGGGAAAATATTACATCACCAATTATTTTATTACACTTTAAATTAATTTCTGAAGTGCAGTGGTTCCCAAACTTTTCAGCTTTTGACCCACAAACTAACAGTAGCAGAGACCTGTGCCCACAACTATTTTTGGCTGATAAACATTTGTATCAGGTCAACTAAACATGGGCATAGTAACAATATTTATTATTCTGCATTTATACATTTTAGGCAACTAAGGCAAAAATGTAATTAATTTAGAAAGTCTTTTCAGGACCCCACCTTGATGTTTCAGGACCCCACTTTGGGAACCACTGCAGTAGATAATGGCTCCTTATTTCTGTCTCTTTGCCTTCGATGTAGAAAGAGAAATAGAGGAGAGAGAAAGGCAGTGACACAGCGTCAGCTGTCAATCAAATCCGCAGCAGCGCACGTCCTTCACACTGCTTCCACTGTGTCTGTGGACCGACAGATAGCAGCAGAGATCAGCTGACTTGCTTGTGGTTTTATTTTTTCATTATGATAAAATTAAAAAATGGTGGACTTTTACATATTTTTTAACCAAAGCTTTTTCTGATCATTTTTAGAATGTATTTAATTAAAAAGTAAATTGGCATTTTTTTGTCTTAAAAACTTTAATAAAATATTGTTGTGCAATAACTGCCAGAACAATGAATGAAAGTCTAATGTGTCTATAATAAAATGACACATTGGTGATTTGTCTGCAGGAGGACATCTATGAACATGGAAGGTGAGGGAGACAATTCATTGGAAAATATCAGCTGAAATGTTAGAATTCAGAGCAGAACAGAAACAACTTTCTGATGAGAGAGAAAAGAAGATCCTCCATAGAACAAGAAAGCCATTAGTAATTTTGTAAAAATAAACTTTATTATAGGTGATTTTTTTATAGACACACTACAAACAAATTGTCATTACTAGTCTTTGTTCTGTTGCTGCCAGTTTGTTACATAAACCAACCTGTAGTGTTGAATATTAAACAATATTAAAGAATAAAGCTACTGATTTAAAATAGACAAATATGCAAGACATCAAGGTATGTCTGTAATAAATGTCACATTACTAGGACAGCCAGCGATTCCGTGCACCTCTTTTTCCACTTGATCACCAGCCCCCATGTCTGTGCATGCCACTGCAGATAATATAACTATCAATCAAATGGGGAATAAGTTACTCTGTAAGGGAGCAATGACCACTCCTCTCAATATCTGAGCAAATAGAATAAGTTTGCTCAAAAAACGTTTCTGTTTAAAGCCAAGCAGAGAGAAAGAAAATGTGTTACAGCCCACTAAAATACCAACTAAAAATGTGAAAATAGCCAGACATTGAAAAGTGCAGTGGTAAGTTCCATTTCCATTATCTACTGTATACCTGCTTCTTCCTTTCAGGGTCATGGGGTTCACTAGTGCCCATATCCAACAGTTTCTGTGTGAGGGGGCAGGGTACACCTTGGACAGGTCCCAAGTCCATCACAGGGACACAAACCGTTTACTCCCTCACTCACACATAGAGACAGTAGTTACCAATCAACATTCATGTTTTTGGTCTGGGAAGAAACCAGAGGGCCAGGAGAAAGTCCACACATTCAAAGAACATGCAATCTCTACCCAGAAAGGTCTCTGGCAGGGATTTGATCCGGCGTCCTTCTTGCTGAGAGGCAACAGCTCTACCAACTGAGACACAGTGCCACCCAGTGTGTGATTAGCTCCATAACTGAAAATAGACAAGGAAAAATAAAGATCACTCGTTTTTGCAGACTAAGAATTGGCATTACAACAAATGTTGGTAGGAAGGTAAAAGTACTTTATTTGTCATCAATGCATGTTCCCATGCGATGATGAAATTTGTGCTCTGTGTTTGCCATCACACGTGAGAAACACCTACAGTAAGTAGAGGTGCCCTGGGAGCAGTTGGAGGTTGGGTGTCTTGCTCAATGACACCACAACGTGGGCTTGGCAGGGAGTTGAACCTGTGACTTTCGGGTCCCAATTTGGCTTCTCTACCACTACACAACAGCCTCCTCCCAGTAGTAGTATGTTTAGTAGTAAACATAAACACAATAGTGATACAAACAAAATATTCTGTTTCCTGTTTGGCAACATAAATAAGAAAATGTTTCCAATATATCCTAATTTAGGGGGAGTTACTTTCTTTTTTTTCTCTGATTAAGATCACTATTGGGAAACTATAATCAGGGGTGCCCAACCTTTGTTGAACCAAGAGCTACTTTTGAAGTTGGCAGTTTGCCGAAATCTACTCGTCCAGTCTCAGTATCAAAAAAACATAATTTTTCGTCTCCCTACTCGTCACTTCTTTAAATAAAGCAGAACGTAATGTGTTGCTAGTTTTATTTAATTTAAAGTATTGTCAAACCAAACTATCTACTTAACCATATATTTACCTACAAAAACAAAAGAAAAGATCCTTTTTGTTCGAGCATCGAAATCCTTACTAAACTCCTGACAGAGAAACAGAAAAGTGATGCTCGAACAAAAAGGATCAATTTTTTTTACCTCATTCAATTAGTACTCCCTGTAACGTGTGAGCTATGAGGGCTGGAAACCTGAACACTGAGAACCACAGACTTAAATAACTTTGGAGCACGGGAACTCGTCTCCATTTATTCAAAGAACTCTCCTTTTCTTTCTCTCCATACAGAGGAGGAAAAACAAAACAAAACTAAAGTCAAAGCACACAATATAAAACTCTCTTGTTTATACTATTACAAAAAGTGACTTACGATGGTGCAGATTCACAAATCTCCAACAACTATTTCAAACCTCAGTCTGCAGCAGGATGGTGTCATCTGTAGGTGCTGGCCCTCACTGGTCCAGACTGCCAGCTCCAGACCATTCAAAGAG